TTAAGATCATATGTGACATTATATTGGTTAGGTTACAATCATAAGATAAGAGACATAATTAGAGACAATAAGAGACATAATCAACATCTTATTTAGACTAACCCTGTACACAATATATTGTGAAAATGAGGCTTAGTGCAGGTTCAGTGAGGAAGACATGAGCTGCGTTCAGATCCACAGTGAACAGGAAGTAGAGGATATGAAATATTCTCTACTCTGCGTACACGGAACATCAGTTCAGTGGACTTCCCTTCACAATTCCTCCATTCTTGACTCCCTGCAATGTCGCACACATTGACATCTGCTGCTGCTACTGTGTAATGACAACGAGACACTAGGGCTATTAAAATAAAAAACGATTGTATGGCCTATTGAAACAAAAACTGATACCATTACTAGACCTATTGTGTTGGAATGGATGTAACTTGTGAAAAAAATGTGATTTGATGACTTTGTCATTATGAATTTTTTTTTTATGTTATAGTATGTATGAGGGTAGTGCATATATTGATTTACATTACACAGCTGTGCTGGACAAAACAACATCATCTTAGCTTGACAAGAGCATCTTTGATGTTTTACCACTTCCATAGAAATGTAAATAATTAGAACAGTACAACAGTAATTACAAGCATGTGTAAACTCCTTTGAGATCTCCATAATAATAATGTGCTCTTCGATCATTTAATGGCTGATCCACCAGCTGCATTGACTGATGGGTATTTTTTCTTGTTGTTCAGTTCTTCCCTGCTCATTTCTATGGTTTGGAATCTCACTTAAGATTCACTTGTCAGTGGAACGCACCCTTTTTCTAGTTCTCACTCATTCATAATCTTTTACTCTCCCCACCTCTTCTAATCATTTAGGTGCTGGATGTTTACAGTCATCCAATCAGATTTGGTCATGATCGCACTCAGCCAATCATGTCATTGTAGTCAAACTTTGAGTCTATTCTCCTCTCTGTCGCTGAGTTATTCATCTCATCATATCCACAACACTTGGTCCCATCAATCAGCACAAATATCAAGGTCCCAGGGGGGTTTCCTATACTATGCAGTCACTACCCCTTTAAATCTTGATTACATCACTAAGAGCCAAACAGACTCATTTATATCACATCACTTTCATTTCTCATTGTGCAGTGGAGATAAATCTTCAAATGACGATGATGTCATAAAAGTTGACATTGACTGATAAATACAATGCATGTGGCAGGTATGCATCGCCTCTCCGCAGCTTTTCATTTTAATTGTGTAATTTACCCCTTCGAAAGCTAACGTTCACTTTTCAGATCTCTACGTACCATGAGATCGGATGTGTCTGTTGAGGTTGCTGCTGTTCTGGAAGACCTTATTGCAGAGGGAGCAGCGGTACACCCTCTTGTGCTCTCTGACTTTGTGTCTCTTCAGCACAGCTGCACTCTCCGGAGCACGCTCTGCTGCTGCCGCTGCCTCAGAGGCCACCGGCTCGGACGTTTCCACCGGGGGCTTCAAATCTGCACACATCAGGAATTCAATGTCAAAGAGAAATGTTTACCATGTACACATTCTTAGTGTGTGTGTTAGCATGAACCCAAATAGCAGCTGAGACTGATGCAGGTATTTGGTTCATAAACCTGCTCCCTCTTCTTCCCTTCCGGGCAGTGATTTGCAACATCTTCCCAGAATGCCATTCTCCAGCCTCCACAGAATGTGCCTGAACCGGCTGCAACTTGCTCAGCTCATGTCATACACAACACGTGCATAGACACAGAGTGACAGTAAGAGAATGAATAAAGTAAGAGCTGCGTGTGGAAGAACTAGTATCATTATGTGGTGATCAGCGTTGATATTGTGGCTACAAACAAATAAATGTACGGACACTGAGAATCATAAAAATAAGTTTGATTCGTTGTGAAACTGTCGCTGGTCAGAGCTGTCAGCTGAGTAGGCGGTCCTTCATATGTGGCCCAGGATGCAGCAGTGATCTCCTCTCAGGATGAATTTGAATCAGTTGAATCAGATCACTCAGGACAGATGTTTAAGCAGATGCATAGAAGCTTTAGCTCTTTCATGGCTGATCCTTTACCACTGTTCAAACATCTCTCACCATTACATAAGACTCGTTTTCTAATCAACTGGTCCAAAATATATCAAAAGAATATACTGTGAGTTCTAATTTGTGAACTCAGACCTGTTTGCTCTCACCTTTGTTTTTGCCTGCCCCGGGCCTGCGTCCCTTAGTTCTCCTTCCTCTGCGGCCCAGCTTGGGGCCCCGCTGAGCAGCGGGTGGCCGGGCTTCCTCCTCATCAGGGCCCACCAGGCTCTCTTCTTGGGGCAGGTGCGGGTCGTCCGGAAGCTCACTTACTGTGTTCACCTTGTCGAGGTGACTCAGCGTGTTGCCTGTGATAAACAGAGGGAATGAGGATTAAGAATGAGAAACCCTGACAGAGCATTTCAGTAGAGGTGTGCTGAAGGTCAGATTTTTACTCCTGTTGAAGTCAATATGGAGGAACCATAGTCAATTGCAACTGGAAGCTTAATAAGATCTCACTAAATGTATTTGAGATATGAGTAAAAGATGCAATGACTGATGTGATGGGGGTCTGCTGACCTGTGTTGGGCTCTTCAGCCACTGACGGCACGTGAGCTCCAGTTTTCTCCGAGGTCTCTGTGTTATCAGATGAAGACGTCACATCTGAGGAGAGGAGACAAAGACTTCAGATAACTTTCACATTGTTGCCATATTAATCTGCACAATCCCTGTAACACCATCTACCTTGTGAAAGTGGCTGAAGTGGAGGCTTCAGCATGGGCTTCTCCATCTTCTTGGCGTAGAAAGCTCCGTACCAGACCCTCAGCTCTGTGCCCGGAAGCACATCCTGAGAGACAGACAGCGGAGGCGAACATGAGAACCATTTCCTGTTAGAAAAGACTCAGGTTCAGGACGGACACAGGTACCTGGGAGGTGTTGAAGTACACGTCATCGTCCTGCTGGTAGGCCGTCAGATTCTGGTGTTTGTGGTCGGCCGCAGGACGCACCAGCATCATCCAGTTGCAGTCTTCTTCGCAGCTGGAGTCAAAACACACCACCAGGCTGTCCCTCTGGAAGATCTGTGCATTGTGGGGAGGGAGGACGCAATCGCACAGTGGCGGATCAAGGATTTTGCTAAATCAGGGGCCATGAAGGGCCCACAATTTACAAAGAGGAGCCAATTATAATCCAACATCTATAAACATCTCCTGATTCAGTAAGATGCACATTTAAGTAATATATCGTTTACTGTTAACTTTGAAAATTGTGCTTGAAAAAGGAATCAGATGTTTAATTGAATTTTTTGGAGCCTTTTTGAAGAACAAACAAAAGAAACAACTCATCTTATTTATTTTTACTATTGTAAGTGACTACTTTATTAGACTGACAGGACACGGACACTTCAGTGACCAATCAGATTTCAGCCCCTCCCTGGCCCAGACCCTGGATACTGCAATTACACCTATTCACATAAAATAAAACAAGCACAAGATGTGTCCACTCTAAGTAAACTCAGGATTCATCAGGCTCCACCTTCAGAGGAAACGCTCCTTCCTTCTCCAGGTGGGGGACCCTCTTAGCCTCAAAGGGGCCAAACCGGGTCCTCTTGACCAGCCGCCGCAGGACAAACACGCCCTCCTCCCCATCATCCACCTCCCTGATCTCCAGGCTGTTTGGTAGAGATGACCTGATCCAAGACGAGGACAATATGTGTGTTATGAAATGGCAATAACGTAAAAAATCATTTTCTCAGTGCAGTACTTCACATTTTGTGTGATCACACATACTCCATGATCATTTCTACACCATTTAAAAATAAACTATTTTCCTGAGGATACAAATGTAGCAGTTGTAGA